TTCAAATCTTTTACCTATGAAGTTTTTTTTTTTATTACTATTCAGGTATTTAAGAGACTTGATATTCTTGGCAAATCCTGACTATATGGTATTATGTCTCAAGATTATTACGTACTATATCTGAAGCTCTTTGAAAATATAGTTAATGATTATATTTAGAAACATTTTTGTCTAAAGTTTTTTTTTTTAAACTGACTTTATTTGGCTCTGAGTTATTTTTGTAATTAAGAGTATTATTTTTATAAATTAATCATGGCCATACTAAATTTTGTCATCTGCAAGGTAAGTTTTTACCCTGCTGATTTGCTGAAAATGTTTTACCAAAATATCTCAACAAAAAGATGGACTATAAAGATGGACTTGCAAAACAGACTGTGACTAGACTGAATAAAATTTCCAGAACTCTTATGCAGAAACTGACGGGTTCACAGACTGTGGCTGAGCCAGAATCACATGGAACAGAAATTAACTACATAGGACTGAGTAAACTAAAGGATACTATAGTTTTATGTGGGAATAGTGCTGATGTTTTACGGTCCTACTTTCTGGATATAAGACACTATTTTCCCTTCTCCTAAGTTATCTAACTAATGGGTTTAGATATTTTAACTCTTGAATTAGAACTTCCTGTTGGTAAACTTAGCAAAGTTGTAAATATAACCAGATAAGTGTCTGAAGTTTGAGCTATGATTTTACAAAATAGAAAGAATAGCATTAGATTTCCTATTAGTTTCTCAAGGAACAGTTGGTGCCTTAATAGATAAATATTGTTGTGTTTATATTGACACCCAATCTGAGGTTTTGCAGAATGTAGTTGTTGTCAAAGCAGGTAAAAAGCAGTTACTGATGCTGCTTATGTATAAACAAACACCCCATGAGATTTGTCTCCTTGGTTCAAAGACCTTAGGGTCATGGTTTCACTGGTTATTTCAGACAATTGGCCTAATATTATTGTTAGTGTTTCTATTCTACCGCCTAGTTTGCTGTATGGTGCCTGGGATCTTAAAAACCATATGGTGCCCAATTACCATTTATTGAGCATTTTTGATCAAAGATTCTATAACAAGATTATGATCCAAAGGAAGGAATGATGAAAGAGTTGTAATTCTCCTGGAATCCAGATTTCTGGCTTTCATGGAGGTCAGTGTAACCTACACAGGCTATTTATTGCCTTTGAGTGTGCTTTTGAACCTCGAGTTTTGAGGAAAAAAAAAAAAAAAATGGTTCCTAAACCACTTTTGAGTCAAATAATGGTCCAGATAAACTAGTAAGACCGTTTTGCTCTGGGTGTTGTGCTTATTTGAAGAACTCAGTCTGTTTTGTGAAACTGACTCTGAAGATCAGATTGGGAGCTATGTTTAAAGTAAATCAGTAATTAGTTTAATCAGTTTTCAAGACAATGTTGTATGAAATACCTGTCTAATATTTGTAATCAAACTGTTACCCCCTTACTATGTTTAAGAAAATTATGTATCTTAAAGAAATCAGGTTCTCAGAAGAGATATCCTCATGGCTCAGGTTCCATTTTGGCTTAGGTTCCACTTCTGCTTCTCAGAAAATGATCCATGATTGTTAATAGGTAAACCAAGGAGGGGCAGCTTGATCTTAGGAAGAACAGTTAATATGTTTTAAATAGATTAACTGAAGACCTCCAACAGGAGAGGTCCATCCTGTATTATCTTGCTAATCATTAATTTTCTAATGGAAACTTGGTTGTCACATGTAAGTTTTTCTATACCTTCTCTTTTCTCTAGACAACTTTTGTGTGCTCCTTATGTTTTTGTGTGGTGGATCCAACGATACTAGATTAGAGGATCCCCTTCCAACTCATAGTGAATTTACGTGGGCAGTCTCTTGTTTAGATTCCTGGAAAAATACATGAGCAATGCACTTTGGGAACTTTAGGATTACCTTTAGGTATTCACAGTAATGATGCTAGTAAATACCGGGAAGGTAATGTTAATTTATTACACATGGTAAAACGAGAATAGAAGAAAGGCCATTGGTCCAACACAGGGTGGGGCTGGTCATTTCTAAGAGATTTAATTCCTATTTATGGTATAGTTGAATTGGAAAAATCTTTACACGATTTGTCAGTCACTATGGGACAAACAGCAGACGAAGTTGCTAGTGGGATGGAAACAAGACTGCAATCTCTGACCTCATTAAACCCAGGTGACATGAGATAACAGAATAGCCTTAGATTTTTTATTAGCCCAAGAAGGTGCAGTTTGTGCTGCAGCAAATACCTGTTGTTGCATTTGGATAAATAACACAGGAAAAGTAGAACAGGATATACACAGAATTAGACAACAAGCTACTTGGTTACACACTGTAACACGCTACTAACACCAGATTTATTTGGCTGGTTACAATTAGGAATAATACATGGGCTAGATCACTATTGCAAGGAATAGTAATATGCTTAGTCTGAATTCTGATAGTATGAGGCATAATAAAACTTATCTTCTATTGTCTTATACACTTAAAAGGCAAAAGAATGTCTCGTCCTAAAATGTTGATGCACATTGAGTCTGCTCATTTTGGCAATGCGATTGATGGGAACATCACTCTTATTTAAGATCTTGGTGAAGAATCAGATGGTATCTAGTGGAGAACGAGCACTGTGAGTTTAAAGAGCCTGCCATGGCTGCCATCTAGGAGCCCGACTAAGTCCAGGTATTCATCATAGATGTGTTATCTCCAATCGCCAATCAAAAGGAGGGCATGATTTAGGAGATAATATTGGAGCCATTATTCCTTGTCCCAGAATGTGACCCAGCTGGAGCTGGACTCACAAGGACCCACAAGGCCTCACAAGGACACATCAACTGGGCCCTGAGGTACAAAGACAATAGGTAGAACAATCTGGAAAACATCTTTTAGGGAATCTTTCACGTATACTAATAACACAGCATAAAAGGCCCACATACTTCCCATTCTTATCTTTTTTATATTAGCATTTAGTGAATAGTAAGATTTGTTGGACCAGTGAAGACCCTCCTGACTGTTGTCACTGAAACGTGTACCAATGACTGTTAAGAAAGCGGATTCAAAATGTAGAATCATGGTGACTTAACAGTATTTAGCCAACCTGTGAAAAGGTGAAGCTTTCAAAGGTCTTCCCCATTTATAATGTTAATATACCCTGATGGCTCTGTAACATTCCTTGGACTTGGCAGACACGGCTGTGGCAGCATGCTTGTCCATTTTCCCACTTATGCTTATTAACATTTCTTCGTCTCGGGCAGATATTAGCTCTGGCAGCATGCCTGTCCACTTCTCGCTTTTGCCCTTTTGAATATATGCCAAATAAAACTTTCTTTTCGCTTTACTAAAGTTTGTGATGTTTTTACCCTAGAACACGTGATGAGAAAGTTTTGGAAATAAATAGCAGTAATGGTTGTGCAACATTGTGAATATAATTAATGAACTAAATTGTAAACTTAAGTGTGGTTAAAATGATAAATTTTATATTTATTTTACCACAATTTTAAAGCATAGGTAATTAAATTCATATTAAATCAGAAAGCCAGGGAAGGAGAAAAATACCTAAAAGGGGAAATCGTACCAAAATGAAAGTGGTAAGGACTACAGAACTTCCTTTCTTTCCTATCCTCATGCATGATGGATGCCAGATATATGCAGACAACAAATGGGAACTTCTGAGAGTCTGTATAGTTAGCTAACGTGATTATTTAACTGACATATCATGCCTCATTGTAATTTATATCACCTCTCTTTACTGATCTTGAGATTGTGCCCTCATATTTTGCATCTTCACTTCCAAGATAAAGTTCTCAACTACATACAAAGCAAAGCCCTCCATGGCCCTAGCCTTAACCTACACCTTCATTTATGCTTTAAACTGCAGCACTATTATTAACCATTGGTACCAAAAAGCAAACCAAAGAAAACTACACCCATTCCCGGCGGGGGGTGGTGTCGATTCCTACTCATAGCGACCCTATAGGACAGAGTAGAACTGTCCCATAGGGTTTCCAAGGAGTGGCTGGTGGATTCGAACTGCCTTGATTAGCAGCCGAATACTTAACCACCGCACCACCAGGGCTCCTTAACCACTGAGTTCTTCGGTTTCCTAAACTTGAAATCCCAGCCTTCTTCTCGCCTTTCTCTTCTTTCCCATCCCTCCAAATCCTTAACCCCACAAATTCCTAGCTTTTATGACAAAATTTAGGCATGAATTCCTTCAGGAGAGCCTTCCCCAAATCCTCAGGGTAGGGGTCGGAAGTACTCTGTATATCCCTATCATAGAACTCAGGGACTGTATTTGTCTGTTTAATACAGCTATCTTTCCCATTAAAGTGAGTTTCTTGAGGACAAATTCAGTAACTTACTTATATTTGAATTTCCAGGAGTTCCACCGTAGGTGGCAAATCGTGGTGCTCAATAAGTCTTAGTTGAACTACATTGGATTGGTAGTTTAGTTAGTAAAAGGAATTTTAAAGTATGAAATCTTGTAGGTTGATAGGACCTCCGTAGCTTGGCTGGGTTGCAGGTTGACAGGAGTGGCAGAGAGGTGAGTTGGGGTGCCATGAGGTCACAGATGAACTCTGAGGCCAAGGTTAGGTCATTCACAAAAACACGTGCTGGCAAAACTGACAAAGGAGAGCGGGTCTTCAGGATTAGGGTGTGCTGGGGGCAGGTATATGGTGCCAGTCCCCACTCTGGAGTTGTCTTTCTGCAGGAACGGTTTGAGAGAGAAAGTGCTTAGCTTCTCGGACCCCAAAGCCCACAATCACCGCCTTCCGCCACAAGGCCTGGCTGCCTCCTCACGGCTTCAACCGCCCGCACATTTGCCTTGCCAGTTCATTTTACTCGAGGGCTTTTCTCGCAGAGCCTCCGCAGAACTCACCGCCGAAGGGCCACCACCGTCGAGGCCGCGCTTCGCCTTCGCGCAACTTGGCCCGCGGCCGGGCGCCTAAGGCCCTGCCTCCCTTGGACGTCATGTGACGAGGGGAGGTGACTTCCACTTCTTGTGAAGTAAGGTCTCAGACCATGAGTTCAAAAACGGAGGGGCTTATCTCAGTTCCACCAACCACCTTTTACGGCCTAGCCCTCTCCCAAAACTCTGGTTAGGAGGAGCTCCGCTGCACCCTCGAGGGGCCGACCAACCAGAGGGGTGGGCTTTCCGGTCAGAGCCGGCTCCCTCCGCAATGGCTTCTCGTGGGGTCGTTGGCCTTTTCCTCCTCTTTGCTCTTCCCGTCTTGTGTCTGGAGCTCCGGCGTGGGATTCCGGATCTAGGTAAGTGTTGATTTTTCCCTCTTGGCTCTCACAACTGGGTCATTTAACCATGTAAGTCGCTAGAATTACCGTCTGCCCGTCCGCTCTGCCAGGGCGGCCCAGACTACGATTCCCAGACTGCACCGCGCCCGCCTCCCTCTTCGGCGTCGGCCGGGCGGGGAGGGAGCCTAGGTGCTCGCGCTTGGCTGGTCTCCGGCGTCGTCGGGAAAAATTTCGTCAAGTATTGGCTATGTTCATAGTCGAATGCCCACTCTAGGTCAGGCACTTAGTTCGTTAGGTTCCCGGGGCACATGTTCTAAGCTCTGGTGAAGGTTTGCGTGTAGTGGAGGTAAAACCCGTTGCCGTCGAGTCGATTCCGACTCATAGCAACCCTACTGGACGGTAGAACCGCCCCACCGGGTGTCCAAGGAGCGGCTGGTGGATTCTAACTGCCGACCTTTTGGTTAGCAGCCGAGCTCTTCACCACTGCGCCACCAGGGCTCTGGTAGTAGAGGTACAGACGCAAAAAGTCCAGGTACAAATAAAGACAAGATAACTTTCAGATTGTGATGAGTAGTCTAAAGGAAATTAACAGGATGATATGATTTAAAACAAAAAAAATACAGGAGCCGAATTTAAGGTGGTCCTTGGAAAACCTGAGAAATGAACCTTTAAGCTGAGATTTGACTGATGATGAGGAGCCACTCCTGTGACAAGCCAGGGGAAGAATATTCTAGGCAAAAGGAATTGTGACACGTTGGAAGAGAAGATGAACCTAGTGGCTGGAACCCTGCTGCGTAGTGGTTGAGAGCTCCTCTGCTAATCAAAAGGTCGGCAGTTGGAATTCACCAGCCGCTCCTTGGAAACCCTACGCAGTTCTGCTCTGTCCTATCGGGTCGCTATGAGTCGGAATGAACTCGACTCGATGGCAGCGGGTTTGATTTTTTTTTTTTCTCTTTTCTTGGAAAACCTTCGGAGAAATTAACCTTTAAACTGAAATTTGACTGGTGATAAGGAGCCACCCCTGTGAAAAACCAGGGGAAGAATATTCTAGGCAAAAGGAATTGTGACATGTTGGAGGAAAACGATGAAGCCACGTGGCTGGATCAGGGAGAGTAATAAGGGCGAGAGTGGCTCAAGTTTAAGCCCCTATAAATAGTCAAATACCAAGTGCTTATTCAGGAGCCCTGGTGGCGCAGTGGTTAAGAGCTCAGGCTGCTGACCAAAAGGTGGGCAGTTCATATCCACCAACTCCTCCTTGGAAACCCAGTGGGGCAGTTCTGCTCTGTCCAATAGGGTCGCTATGAGTCGGAATCGACTCAACAGCAACGGGTTTGGTTTGGTTTTTTGGTTAAGTGCTTATTCATGACTTTATTTATGTCATTTAATCTGCACCACAACTATTAGGGGTAGGTGCTATTACAATCCTTATTTTACAGTTAAGGGAGCTGAGATAAAAGGAAGTTAAGTGACTTTTGTAAGGTTTTTAAAAAGTCACCCTGAATTCTGTGTGGACAATGTTTTGGAAGGAAACTATAGTGGAAGCAGTAAGGCAAGTTAGGCTTTTGAAGTAGATAATCGTGAAGATGGCCTGGACTAGGATGGTAACCAACCATCCAACTAGTTGCCAGTGGATTCCAACATATGGTGACCCCATGTGTGTCAGAGTAGAACTGTGCTCAAGCAGTTTCCAATGGCCGAGTTTTCAGAAGTAGATTGCCAGGCTTTTCTTCTGAGGTGCCTCTGTGTGGACTCGAATCGCCAACCTTTCAGTAGTAGTCGAGCGTCTTAACTGTTTGCATCACCCGGGGGCTCCAGGATGATAACAGGAAATGAAATGTGGACAGTTTTGAAATTTAGGAAGTAGAATCAACAGGACTTGTGGATGGGTTCAGGGATGACTCCCACATATGGGGTTGAACAACCCTAGGTAGCTGGTAATACCATTAATAAGGGGAAAACTGAGAGAATACTGTGGACATATGGAGAACTAGAAGTGGTTTTGGACGTATTACTGATCAGTGTACTTGTCTGTCTCCATCATTAAACAAAGTTCTGAGGTTAGAGACCGTGATGAAACTTAGCTTTATATATTTCCTCTCTTTCTTCACCCTCCCTCCTCACCTCAGAGGAGTTAGGAGCCCAGAAATGTTGCTTTAAATAGGAAATCACAATACTTAAAAAAAAAAAAAAATCTACAAATGGCCCTCCAGAAGCCTCCTACTCACTCAAGCTATATTGGAATAACAGGACCTTTATCAAAATGAGAAAAACAAAAACCAAACCCATTGCCGTCGAGTCGATTCTGATTCACAGTGACCGTATACAACAGAGAAGAACTGCCCCATAAGGTTTCCAAGGACCAGCTGGTGGATTTGAACTGCTGACCTTTTGGTTAGCAGCCAAGTGCTTACCCACTTTGACACATTCACCTATTCTAAAACTCACCTGATCCCTTACCTTTACAGCACCCCCCCATCTCCCCTGCTCATCTAGAATCTCCTACTTTGCACTAGTATTTGAGTCACTAGTCAAGGAGAAAGGAACCCTGGTGGTGGAATGGTTGAGCGCTGGGCTGCTAACCTAAAGGTTGGCATTTTGAACCCATCCAGTAGCTCTGCCGGAGAACTGGCGATCTGCTTCTGTAAAGATTACAGCGAAGAAAACCCTATGGGGTAGTTCTACTGTCACATGGGATCTCTATGAGTTGAAATCAACTGGCTGGCACCCAACAACAGCAACAGTCAAGGGGAAGATGATTACTGTGGGGTGGAGGAAGATGGCCACTCTCATGATCAGGTCTAACCCCGGGGAGATACACTTCTTGAGGGCAGAGACCACATTCTAATTACTTTTGTGTTCCCAGAACCTATCACAATGTCTAATTTAATAAAGTTAGGCCATGAATTCTAGACAATGTAACTGGGCAACATCTCCATCTCGCTCCTGGAATTTCCACTTAATTAACTTTCTCCTCTCAGACGTGAACTGGCAGTAGTTTTCTTTCGTTTCTTGATACTGGGTTCTCCAAATATTCAGTAACAGTATTTAAATCAATTTTACAAATCATACATCCCAGTGCAACAGCTGGAGGCTAAGCTAGTTATGTGTGGAGCAGTACTTAGAGATACTAATAACTCTTAGCAAGAGCTTCTAATTAAATTCCCAGGTAAACTCCCAGACCTGTCCATTCACCTAGTCTGTATTTTAGACTTATATTGAAAAATGATCCCTATTTTTTCCTACTATGTCTTCCCATTTGTTATTTTTTGAAGTGTCCTCCTTATGGGCTCTTGAGAGTAGGTACAAAAAAAAAAAACAAAAACAGAAACACTTAATTTTGAAATGTTTTATTTGAACAGTGTACACACAAATGTAATCCTTTTATGCTCCCATGTGACATTCGCCAAATTGCTTGCTCATTAGAACAAAAAGCAATTCCATTCCAACGACTTCATTGTAAGTTGGTTCCAACGTAAGTCGAATGTCTTTTTTTTAGTTTTCATTATTATTGCCTTTTATTATTAGTATCTTTATAAATCCAATCTTTAAACATCTGTGAGTGAACATCTGAGAATGATAACATCAGCAAATTACACGCTGCAACATAAGATGTACAATAAGATGTAACGATAAGATGTACAAAAAAATTAAAAAAAAAAAACCCAAAAAACTAGAGGGTCATTTGTTCAGTTTGTCATAACTCCAGCACGTCATAAGTCGGGGACTGCCTGTATTATATAACTTAAATCCCGCAACTCAGTGGTTTCTCTAAATACCATTATTCTAGGTATTACTTGTGTAATGGCTGGCCATGCCCAACGTTTAATTATATATTGTATCGAACAATACCTGTATCAATAGTTAATGCTGTCAAAAGTTGGAGGGGGTGTGATGGAAAAAAAACTGTATTTCTTATCTAAACAATTTTAAATTGCTTTTTTTTTTTTTTTTTAGGATAACATATATCTGTTTTCAGTTAAAAATAAAATATTTTAAGTCTGTATATAAGTTTTTACAATTCCTTCTTTAATCTTTAGTTAACCAATTAACTACCAGCTCTGATCACATTGGTAAGATGGTTTCTCTGTACCTCTACCATGTAACTTTTTAAAATTAAAAATGAAACTACAAACTTCTGGAGGGTGGAAACCAATTTTTCCCCCAACTTTTTTATCTCCCCTCCCCACCACTTAGCAAATTCTATTAGGTAACATAGGGACTTTGTACATTTTTACTGATTTAATTTTAATCTAGACTCTTAAAAAAATATTTGATACAAGACCAGATAATGACTTTTTACTTTTTCTAGGCAAACCTGTAAATAGTAATTTTATTTATTGAGAAATAGAGAAGCACTGGGTTGAACAGTTTAACTGTGAGAAATAAGAATTTGGTGCTTCAGTGGAAATGACTGTTTTTAAATAGAAGTAGAACTTGAAAAGATGATACTGTCACAGATTAATAGTCAATTATTTGGGTAATTTTATTCCCATTTCTGGGTAGAAGGGAAACCAGAACTTACTCATTATTGACAATTGTAATACTTATTCGTAATAGTCAGTCACCCCCATTATACCTATATTCCTAAAATGGAAGATGTTTTGCGTGCGGTGGAGGTTTGATTTTCTGAAAACTTGTTCTGGTAATATACAACCATGATGAATTTTATCATACAAGGAATATTATATGAAATAACCATAAAGCAGTTGCATAAAATAACTTTTAGTGTCCTTTTCTAGTACATATCATTTATTATTAGTATCAAAAGTATTTTTAATATTAATTGTAAATTTTTTTTTCCTTTATAAGGAATTAAAGATCTCATTTTGCTGTGTGGCCGGATTTTCTTACTCCTTGGCCTTCTTACTTTAATCATTTCTGTGACTACCTCCTGGCTTAACTCATTTAAATGTTCTCGAGTTTATCTGAAAGGTAAGGGTATCCTTTATGCTACCTTTTTATACTTAAATTTCTTTGTTATTCTAGAACTTTGCACAATAAGAACCCTTAACAGAAACTCATAGATGTTTTGATAAGCAAACATTTGTGAGTTCTAGAAGCCTTTTAAAACCATACTGTAGTTAGTTCCTTAAAAGATGAATCCTAAAACTAAGCCTACATTTTCAAGTTATTAGAAAGATGCTTGCCAGTAGTGAATTTGGTACATTGTGTTTTGTTTTGCTGTTTATTCATGTCAAAAATATAAAAGAAAATATACAGCATTTAATTTATAGCCATTTCAGATTAACTATGAATAAAATCATAATCCTAAAAGATTATACCATTTGACCCAAACATAAAGACACTGTGGATATTTCAGGGTCTCCCAATCATAGATTTTGGATTTTTTTTTTAATATTTGATTTCATACTTGAAATTCCTCATATGGAAGACTCAATGAGAGCATTGTAACTTACTCTTAGAAAGTTTGTTTTAAATATATTTTGATATCAGGAGGATATCTGCTGCGTACATTAAACTATTAGGTAAGGTATTCTGTGTTTTATAAATAAAGGAAACATACTTGTCACAATTTCTGTACTTTAAGTTGTACGTTTATGTTGTTGAAGTAGAAGTCATTTTGGTGGATTTATTGGTTGATAATTTTGAGATATAATCACCACTGAAGAATACAACTACCTAATGTATACCAGAAAGAAAACCTTTTGCCGTCAAGTTGATTCCGACTCATAGCGACCCTACAGGACAGAGTAGAACTGCCCCATAGGGTTTCCAAGGAGTGGCTGGTGGATTCAAACTGCTGACCTTTTGGTTAGCAGCTGAGCTCTTAACCAGTGCGCCACCCAGGGCTCTACCTAATATGTAACGATAATTAAGACTGTGTATAGAGCCTGTCATGGATTGAATTATGTCCCCCCAAAAATCTGTGTATCACTTTGGCTGGGCCATGATTCCTGATGTCGTGTGATTTTCCTATATGTTGTAAATCCTGCCTCTATGATGTTAATGAGGGAGGATGGGTGGTAGTTGTGTTAGTGAGGCAAGACTCAATCTACAAGGTTGGATTGTGTCCTGAGGCAGTCTCTTGAGATACAAAAGAGAGAGGTCTACAGAGAGACTGGAGGACCTCATACCATCAAGAAAGCAGTGCCAGGAGCAGAGCATGTCCTTTGGACCCGGGGTTCCTGTGCGGAGAAGCTTCTAGTCCAGGGGAACATTGAGGAGAAGGCCAGGGGAACATTGAGGAGAAGGCCAGGGGAACATTGAGGAGAAGGCCGACCGAGGGAGAAAGCCTTTCCCTGGAGCTGATGCCCTGAATTTGGACTTTTAGCCTACTTTATTGTGAAGAAATAAGTTTCTGTTTGTTAAAGCCATCCACTTGTGCTATTTCTGTTGCAGCAGCACTAGATGACTAAGACAGAGCCTAATATAGTGAGCTTTTCTTCAAGTGAATAAAAAATCAGCTTGCTCATACACATTCTATCTCCCCTACTGTCATCAGATACGAGATACACGTCTTCAGAATAATCCAAAACTTTAATTCTCCTTATTTTATAAAATGGTTTGCAAAATGAGGTGTATTTAAAAGTTCAGAAGCAGTCAGTCTTCAGTGGCTTTAAGGGTTATGCTCTTCTGTTGATTTATTGGAGCCCTGGTAGTACAGTGGTTGAGAGCTCAGCTGCTAAACAGAAGGTTGGCAGTTCGAATCCACCGGCCACTCCTTGGAAACCCTATGGTGCAGTTCTACTCTGTCCTATAGAGTCTCTATGAGTCGCAATCAGCTGGACAGCAATGGGTTTAGTACTATACATTAGAGAATCCTCATTTCAGAACAGAGCTTTTGTTGCAGATTTTACTTTTGGATTTGTTTTACCTGCCTGCATACAACTACCTAATGTATAATCATAATTAAGACTGTATGAAGCCTAATATAGTGAGTGAGCTTTTCAAGTGAATAAAAAATCAGTATTGTATGTTGCATTATTTGAAAAATAGAATCTGTTATAATAAGGCTTCTTGTCTCTCTCAAAATGTTAAAATCTACAGACCTTTTTCAGAGAAAATTGCGTTCAACTTATGATAGTTGGGAATTAAAGCTTTTAATGTATTGATGTCTTAGATGAAGAAGAGGAAGAGAATGAGAAAAGACAAAAACTTGTGAGAAAGAAGCAACAAGAAGCACAGGGTGAAAAGGTAAAGCATGCTTCCCAGAGACTGCATACGGAGAAAACACACAAATATCTGGGGCACTTAAAATTCAGGTCTGTGGCTTTCAGCATGTGCCAAGATTATTTTTTATTGAGGTGAAATTCATATAGCATACAATTAATCATTTTAAAAAAGTACAAATCAGTGACGTTTAGTATGTTTACAATGTTATGCAACCACCACCTTTATCTAATTCCAAAAGATTTTCATCACTGCCAAAGAAAATTCTGTACCTATTAAGCAGCCACTCCCTATTCCCCTATTCCCTGGCGACCACCAATCTGCTTTCTGTCTCTGTGGATTTAGCTATTCTGGATATTTCATATACAGCAGTCCCCAGATTATGAACGAGTTCCATTCCTGAAAGTCTGTCTTTAAGTTGAATTTGTATGTAAGTCGGAACAGTTAGGTACAGTTCGTATCTAACGTCAGTCAATCAAATGTTTGTCTTAGTATATAGTATGTAGTATAGGTTATAGTGTACCTTTCTATGCATAAAAAACATTAAAGAAACACTTCCAGATATACTAAAACATCTTTAACATAATAATACAGTAATAATAATGTTTTGATGCACGTTGCAAAGTAGCGCCCATTCGTTATTACGAACCATTGTATGTACCTTGATTTTTTAATAGGCTTTATTGGAGTTGGTTTGTAACTGGGTTGTACTTAAGTCGGATGTTCATAACCCGGGGACTGACGATAAATGGAATCAAACAATTTGTGACCTTTTGTGTCTGGCTTCTTTCGCTTAGCGTAATGTTTTTGAAGTTCACGCACCCTGTAGCATGTATCAGTACTTCATTACTTTTTATGGCTAGATAGTACTCCATTGTATGGATATACTCCAATTTGTTTATTCATCCGTTGATGGACACTTGGGTTGTTCCATTATTGTGAATAGTGCTGCTATGAACATTCATGTCTAAGTATTTGTTTGAGTACCTGTTTTCAATTCTTTTGTGTATACACCAAAAAACAAAACAAAAAACCAAACCCGTTGCTGTCGAGTTGATTCCAACTCATAGTGACCCTGTAGGACAGAGTAGAACTTTCCCATAGGGCTTCCAAGGAGTGGCTGGTGGATTCAAACTGCCGACCTTTTGGTTAGCAGCTGAGCTCTTAACCACTGTGCCACCAGGGCATATACACAGGTGTGGAATTACTGAGTCATACAGTAATTCTATGTTTAGTTTTCTGAAGACCTGCCAAACTATTTTCCATAGTGGCTGTACAATTTGCATTTCTACAAGCAATGGATGAGGGTTACAATTCCTCTATGTCCTTACCAACTCTTGTTATTATTTTTTTAATCTCATTATGGTGTTGATTTGCATTTCCCTAGTGACAAATGATGTTGAGCATCTTTTTACGTGATTATTGGCCCTTTGTATATCTTCTTTGGAGAAATGTTGAGTGTAGGTGTTCTTTAATATTCTGGATATATATATATATAAAAGATATATGATTTGCAATTTTTTTCTCCCATTCTGTGGGTTGTCTTTCACTTTCTAGATATTATTCTTTGATGCACAGAAGTTTTTAATTTTGATGAAGTCCAGTTTATCTATTTTTTCTTTGTTGCTTGTGCTTTTGGTGTCACATCTGAAAACAATCTAGTGCCAAATCTAAAGTCATGAAGATCTACCCCTATTTTTCTTCTAAGAGTTTTTGGTTTTAGCACTTACATTTAGGTCATTGATCCATTTTGTGTTGATTTCCACATATGGTGTGAGGTACAGTTCCCACTTCATTCTTTTGCCAGTGGACATCTACTTCTCCCAGCGCCATTTTGGGTGGGTCTGGGGTGGGGCTTAAAGGCTAGCTGCCAACAATCTTAAGTGGGAGAAAGAGGCGAGAAGTCTTAGCTTTCAGTGTATACGTTTTCACTTAGTCTGTTTTCGTTTGCACCCCTGCCCCCCACTCGGCCTAGGATCTGTGAATCTGGAGCCTCTCTGGTTCAGTTTCTCAGAGAATAAACCTTCCATGTGGCTGTGTACAGTAGGATAGAATAGCAAGTCCGGGGATCTAATAGCTCTTTTATTTATTTATATGTTTTCTTTTTCTTTAAAAATCTCAGGTGCAAAGAATTAGCATAATCATACTCATTGATTCACGGCAAACTCGTTGGTCCATGCATGGCCTGTCTCCCGCTCTCAGTTCCACCCCGTTTTCAGCTCTGTGCCTCACTTCATCTCCCAGCCATAGGATCTGAGCTGTTCCAGGGTGTGTGGAGTTCACTGGCTTGCTTCTTATCTGTGTCCTCCTTTGCAGACACTTAGGTTTCAGCCTTTTCCTCTGTTACATCAGTTACTCCCCCACCTGTGTTCAGATATAGTGCTTTGGGGGTTAGTGTTTATGTCATCAGTGATGGAATCTGAGTTTCTGTTTTTTGTTCCCCTTGTTGATTTGGGATGATTTTCAAGAGGAGAAAGAGACAAGTGGCTTAACTTTGTCATTTCAAAACCAGCTGTCTCAATTCCATGTCTTTTGATTCCAGATATTTTTTGTTTTCCCATGATCAGACTATATAGTTAACATTCCTCCAAACAAGTTCATGCCTTCTAGGATCTGACAGTATGAGAGGGCATAAAGCCGTGAACAAACTGCTCAGACTTACAGCTCCTAGAAGTCAGGAACCATGTCGTATTCATCTTTGTATCCCTTCCTCCTAGTAAGTTTTTGTTGCACTGAAGACACATTAAAGGATATATAGGCAGACTACCGTACAAATGTAAGTATAGGACATTTGTTTCTTTTTGCATTACGTACAAATATAAAATTTTACAGAGGGAAGCAAAAGCTGAAGGTGCTGCCTTTTTTTGCAAAACAGAGTTAGTGTGAAAACACAATTTTATATCCAGTTATTTAAAACTTCTTAGACAGTATACACGTTGAGGAACATTACTGTGTATACTAACACCTAATTTATTTTTTTAAACAGGCCAGCAGATACTTAGAGAATGTTTTAAAACCTCACCAGGAAATGAAATTGAAAAAACTGGAAGAGCGCTTCTATCAGATGACGGGTGAAACCTGGAAGTTAAGCAATGGTCACAAGCTCGGGGTTAGAAAATACTCGCATTTTATATATATATTTTTTTTATTGTACTTCAGGTGAAGGCTTACAGAACAAATAGTTTCTCATGAAACAGTAGTACACATGTTGTTTTATGACATTGGTTAACAACCGGTAGACCTTTTTTGTGTGAAAATATACACAGCCAAAGTTACACCATTTCAAAAGTTTCTACATGTACAATTCAGTGACATCAATTACAGTCTTCCAGTTGTGCTTCTAT